TAGAACATCTATATAGTTTCAGTCACTCAATAACAATCTTAGATGTTAGAGCATCTGTATAGTTTTAGTCACATAATAACAATCATACGTGTTAAAACATCTGTATAGTTTTAGTCACTCAATAACAATCTTACGTGTTAGAACATCTATATAGTTTCAGTCACTCAATAACAATCTTAGATGTTAGAGCATCTGTATAGTTTTAGTCACTTAATAACAATCATACGTGTTAGAGCATCTGTATAGTTTTAGTCACTCAATAACAATCTTAGATGTTAGAGCATCTGTATAGTTTCAGTCACTCAATAACAATCTTAGGTGTTAGAACATCTGTATAGTTTCAATCAGTCAATAACAATCTTATATGTTAGAACATCTGTATAGTTTGTCACATAATAACAATCTTACATGTTAGAACGTCTGTATAGTTTTAGTCACTTAATAACAATCTTGCTTGTTAGAACACATTTTCAGGCAATTAGTAACAATCGTACGTGTTAGACCACACTTTCGGTCACTTAGTTACAACCTTACGTGTTAGAATACACTTTCAGTCACTGAATAATAATCTTACCTGCTAGAACTCTTAATTATAACATGTAAAATATTTATTTAAAACGAAACTCGTATCATCAAAGATATGAAACACTTTGCCCATTTCAAGGGTAAACAAATATCCATGATGGAAGACCTTACTAGCGGTGGAAGTGTTGTTTGTTCTGACACTAAAGCGTCTCGAATCACATACGTGACCATATAGATATCCAAATTGGTATCAAATGGTTTAGACGATACTTTCGAAAACATTTTGAAAACAAAACAAACTTACAAGTAAAATGTGATTCTTTATCTACGCTGTACAAGGTCAAGCAAACAATTAGATAGATAGATAGAATATAAATATTACAACAATATTGTTACGTCTCTGTTCGTTTAATTTCCCGTAAAAATTCTTTTCGAAGAACTTCAGCGATAAAAGTTCTTTCTTAAATAAAACTAGTTTATTCTTTCTCAATACAACTTTGCAATACACTTAATTTTCACAGTCACTTTAACTTAAACACACGCTTGAATTCACAACGATTCACGCATTTTACTTATTGCTTGACTCGATTATCTGTCTCTATATCTCTCTATCTGCCATCTATCTCCGCTTCATTTGCCGGTCTTATATACTAAAATAGAGGGCGTCTAGCAAACTCTCGGGCCTTCATGATCCTTGTAGAATCTCATGACGTGTTACCAGCTTTCCGCTGTCGTAACAATATAATATAACTATAAAATATTATAATAAACTATATATTGTAGTAAAGTGTTACTAAAACAGTTAGATAAACAAACTGAAACACACAAGTTCTAGAACTGTGAAGACCCAATAAGCTACATCCTATAAACAAAAACACACGTTTCTAGTAATTCACTGGTAAAGCATAATAATAGTAAATTATTCGATGACGAGGAACCCACTTTGAGACTAATAATGGTTGGAGACGGCTTAAATGGGTAATGAAGAAAAACTTTAATATAAGTTTAACACTAGATGTCGTGTTTTGATGTCGTGTCACTCTTCCCCGAAGTCCCCGCCAATGAAGCTTGCAATATTGCCCTCAACCTCTACATTAATGACCCCAACAAGTTAATGCAAATCCCCAGCACACTTTTTGCTTCTCTCTTAGAATTTACAACGACTAAAACCAACTTCATTTTCAACAACGAACATTTCCTTCAAATAGATGGTTTAAGTATGAGCAATCCTGTTTCGCCCGTTCTTGCCAATATATTCATGACCCAGATCGAAACACAAGCCATACATTCTGCGCTTCA